CGAGTAGCGGCGTAGCGTTTATTCCAAGCCAGGCCCAGATGATCCCAGACGCATGTAATCATAAGACTTGCCTTGGATCATCCCATCCTTTCCATTTTATTCCATTTAATTCCAATGAACACGGGGGGATGCCCAAAGGGGCGGAAGGACTTGGGGAAGATCTAGGCCGCTTTTGTGTTTGCGATTAACAGAACTGTAATTTTTCGGGTTGCGCTGCACAGGCAAGAGCCGCTTTTTATACATTTGGTTCTGGCGACACCGATGCTTGCTGCAGATGATTAGGTCCAAGAGATGCCACAAGTTCCCTGATACTTTCACATAAATTGGATGATAGTCACCTGATACATGCAGTCTGACTTCAAGAATTTGATCTCCTGGGTTGACACTTGGGCAACCACGGGACTACAAGAACATACACGAACTAAGCGCAAGCCGAGACTGCACCACAATGCTGAGGACTCAGTTGCGCCCAAAGCAAACATTGGATTCCAACCATTTTCCTGGCTCACGAGGCTTTGCTTGGATTGAAGTCAGTGATATCAGTGATCTTTTTAGCAAAGTCGGTGGTTGGTGGATCTTGAGGGGCAGCCGTGGTTGGATTTGACTGGATGTGCAGGTCCTACATGCCAAACCCACGCCTTGCCACAACATCAACATCTTCGAGGCAATCTTTCAGATTGATGCCGCGATCTGAGTGGATGCCGGAGCTTCCTTAGATATCAACGCAAATTTTGGGAGGTAAATGCATTTGTTGAGTTTTTGTTTGCACAAGGCGTTTGTTGTCTTGCTGTGTCCTTCACCAAGGTTCTGTTGACGGCAGTTCTGGTCCTGTTGCCCCGGCGTTTGAGCGCGTTGCTCTCGGCCACTTGCTCGGAAGGTTAGCAGTTGTTCGGCCTACCTGACCTACGACGGACACTCAAAAAGGATGGATGTGATGGAATAACAATGAATAACATACTGATCTAACCTTGGCAATGACTCAGTGGATGTTTCTTGAAGGAACATGTTAGCCCAGAAGATACTCACAGCGTGTGACAGGGTGACAGTGTTGCAAAGGAATGTAAAGGACTGAAGTATTTTTTTTGAGCTCAGTCTGCTCAGTCCATTTATTTTTTCACCTTCATCCCAGCAGGCTCTGACATTTATTCCACTTGCTCGATGTGGCAGCGTGCCGGAACCTTGCACAGCCAGTATCAGTTGGAAGGGCGTTTGTTGGAGACAAGTCAGCAGGCCGAAATATCATAACATGTCATGGAACGCCTTGCAACAATGTCAATGTCACTGCATCTCTCTAAACAATTTCCCTTCACTGATTCGGAATTTTGTTCTCTCTCTCTCTCTCTGTATCACTGATGATCCCAGCAACACATGGTACACCATCTTCAATTTGATATATTTTGTTTGGCCAGATCCAAGCTTCAGCTGGATAGACATGGATAGACATGGATAGATATGGATAGATTATTGGATCCTGTGGGCCAGCAACAACAGCTGTTCTCAGGACGATGGTCCTCCAGCAAGGACGGATCTGCTGGGATTGGGTTGGGCGCGGGCAAGGTACATTCGGATGTATGTGGGACGTGAACATAAACACAGTGAAATACGACAACACGTATATATTCTAGTCTGGATTTCTATTTGACCTGATATCGCTTGATTTACCCGAAACTTTGGTAATAAAGGTGGGCCAGAGTTGGACAGCGTGCAAGAGTGGCACACCAAGCCCCACATCAAGTAAGCAGAGCACGTCACATCGAAACTACAGAAATGCAGCAGACCCCGCATTTGACAGGAAGTTGTGCATAGGTTTCTCCATCGGCAGGTCAATTGATTATCTACCAGTTGGGCTGCTGACCGTTGCCATTGCCAATGGTTTGCCAAAAGCTGCGACCCTGGCACAATGGCGTTGGCCAATTAGGCGTGCGGGATGAAAAGCGGTTGGGATGTTTAGGGGGTTCTTGAGTGTACAGATCGCTACATCAAGACGATTCCTTCGCAACTTTGCTTTAGCGTTCAGATTCACTGCTTGACAGTTGACACTAGTTGAGACCCCTGGATTTTATTTCCTGGTGTCCAGAGTTGTTGAAGCTTTTCCTTGTTCCAACACCTGTCAGTTTGATACCGAATCTGATCTTGGTCTAATATTTCAGGACGACCAGGGCAGCCAAATTTTGGTCAACCACTTTTCATAGATGTGCACGAAGTTTTAAGTCCTTCCACGCATATAAAACCTTTGATATCGGCAAAGCACACGCAGCAAACTGATGACCTGATTTATACAGTAATTTGATGTGATTTGTATATATTTGTATGAATTTGTATGCCAGTGCCATCCAGATCCATCCAGTGCCATGATGTCTTAATGCGGCGCACTGGTGTTTGGCTGGCTGTGGCAGCTGTGCTGGCTGGTTGGAGCAGTTGCCTGGTGAGCTTCGAGGCCTTCGAGGAGCGCTTCCTGGCATGGCAAAATGCCGCCAGATCTCGGAGCAGACGACCGTCACGACCGCGGTACCTGGGCAGCACCGAAGCGGCGTCGGTGCGTTCTGCCACCTGCAAAGCGATGCTGCGAAAGTGGCCGGGTCGGACGGTGAAGGAATTTTGCTCCGTGGTTGGGGGCCTGTCTGCTTTGGATTTGCTGCATGCGCTTCGGAAACAACAGCGGCTTGGATGTAAATAAAAACGATGCAAAATAAGTTTTTAACACGTTGTTTCCTTTGACCTTTGATGTATTTTGATGTATTTTGATGTATTTTGATGCATTTTGATGCACTTTGATGTATTTTGATGTATTTCACCACTGCTGGTGCAGCAATGAAGCTTTGCAACTTTTTCCAGAGATTCCAAGCCAAGGATTCCGGTGCAGAAAGTGTACTTCTTCGATGTCAACGAAACCCAGTTGGACTTTGGGAAGCTGATGTTGCGTCTCATAGAGATCAACGAAGACCGAGATGGCTTGGTGCAGTCGCTCTACGGCCGTTCCATGAAGAGTTTGGGGGATGGCCCGGGGGGCAGCCGTTTGTTGAGCGCATCCAACATGATGGATTTTTTGGACTTACCTGTAGATCCCAACATGCAAAGTCTGATGTCTGAAAGACTTGGATGTGAAGATTCCAATTTGAATCTGAGTGAAAGTGAACTGAGTAAGCTGAGTGAACTGTACAAAGATGTCTTTGAATGTATCTCCCAGCCTTCTGGATGGCCAGTGGCTTGGCCCTGCTTTGGGCAACGGGAGACCCTACCCAAACGCCGCCTGGCCACGATGAGTCTCACTAAGTCCCAAAGGCGACTGGGTGGAAATCGAAACGAAGCCTTTCATATCAATGAAGCCGGGTGGTTGGTGAGTGACACCAGCTATCTGGAGTTGCGATCTTCGTTGCAACTGCTTGAGATTGAATTTCAGCTGCTGAATCTCCGAGATCTGCCCAAAGTGGCGGATCAAAGGATTGTTTTCATATCGAACATTGATGGATCGCCACAATTCCTGGCTGAAGATATTCTTGGCGAATGGCGACGACAAGCAAGCGGAACCCTGCTGTTGTCTACTCGGCAGGTAGAGTGGCTGCCATAGTTTTCTGGCTGGTGCATTTGATTGCACATCGCTCACATTGGTTGAAAAAAACTCGCGGCAGTACAGTACAGCTGGTCAGCTGGTCAGTTATGTCAGTATTTTGTTGGCGCTGGAGGTGATGGATTGTGATAGACCGAAGTGTGGGGGTTGCCGCTCACCAAAGCATCCCATCTTATCTCAACTTCCAACATCTTCCAACCAAATGGTTGACCGGGTTTCAGCTGGTTTCAGCTGGTTTCAGCTGGTTTCAGCTGGTTTCAGCTGGTTTCAGCACATGAAGGATATCACGGATATCACGAATATCATTGCTGCTGCCAATGCTGCCATAGATCAAAGATCTCAAAGATCTCAGAGCAGCAGGTGGATCCTGTGGCTCTTGGCCGTGGCATCCTACGGCTGCTTTGGTCTCTTGACCGCTGAAACAGAGGCAGACCTGCAGGCGCAGATGGGGAAGCAGTTGAGTGATGGGTACAATCTTCTGAATGCGGAATCAGTATGAATCAGGCATGGCACAGCTAACTACTACCCAGTGTACTATACACTTGTATCATCTTGTATCTAGTTGCTGCTGGAGGATTCAGACTTGCTACGCCATTCTTGTGGAGGGCATAATTCTTTACTGAGTGAAGTGTGAACTTGATTGAACTTGTGTCACAGGAAGGTTGCTTCAGACTTGCACAATCTTGGTAGATCCGGATTGTCTCTTAAACTCAGGTGTTGTCCATAGACATTTACATCATTCAACATATTGGCCTGAAAGGTCAGCTCGAAATTAATCCAGTGCAGCTTCATGGCGCAGCCTTTTTTGTTCCGAGCTGTTTAGTCTGTAGGCTGTCACATTATGTCGGTGATTGAAGACATGCCCTTGTCTTTGCCAACTGGGTCAGAACTTGCAGGTAGCGAAAATGGAGGTTCCAGCGAACACCGGGCAGTTCGTTCCAACCGCTCCTTTGAATTGCCTGCGCTCAACCAAGACAGGACCAAGTTCTCAAGTGAGCCAAGTCATTCAATGGGAGACTTGCCGCCAATTGAACTGGAAAGAGCTGATTTCGCCGCCTTTTCGCATGGAGACTTACCGCCAATTGACCAGCTCGGCTTCGATGCGGCTGATTTGGCAACACAGTCTTTGCCTGTGGACTTGACGCTTACTCAATGACAAACATCTTGAAGTGTGTACATCCTAGGTTACTGGTTGTTACTCAACACTGTCAAGTCTAAATGCGTAGATGTTGTTTCAATGGAACCCGCGGCCAGAATCTCATTGCAACTTAATTCAACTTATATACCACTTATACCCCACTAGGGTTTGGGGTTCGTTGTTTCCCAAGGATGAGCATGAAGAGCTTCAAGAAGCCGGCGCTTCAGCTGCGTCGCTCTCACTTCAGCAAAAAAGATCTGGTTCTCGACCGTCTGGATGCTTTGCACATTAAGGTCTCGTGACGGTTGTTTGAAGTATTCATTCATAATTACTGTAGTCTCATATCCCTTCATATCCTTTCAGCAACTCAAAACTCGCTGATTCTGTTTGAGCTTGTTTGAGCTTGTTTCAGCGATCAATTTTCAGATATGTTCAGTGGCTTTCAGTGGTTTTCAGTGTCAGGAAACATGCACGGCCTCAGAACCATGTCGCGCAGCGATGGATCTACTTTTCTCCACCTTCCCGGATCCTGAGAGCAGCCGTCACCACTACTGACAGCCAGGCCTGGATCTAACTGGATATTTCACATATCTCACCGTATCGCACCATCAGGGAATATGAGGTGATATGAGGTGATACGAGGTGCCCGCAAAAAGGATTAGATGATTTGCTGCACACTTTGGGCTGGAAGCAAGGCTTGGATTGTGTTCGATTCATACTCTCAATGTCAGTCATCTAGATCTTGATCTTATTGTAGTGTGCATAAGTCAGGGATCCCGCATCTTTCCATTCTACAGCCAGTCATGATACTTCACGACACCGTTCGGCAGGTGGCTATTGGCTCCTTGCGTCCAAGACGCTCAAGATGCAAACCTGATTGACCAAGTGAACAGCAGCATTGAACGCTTCGGAGTGATAAGCCAGAGACTTTTCGCTTTTCGCGCACTACCAAAGCTTTCCCTGCACGCTGCACATGTACAGATACACCTGAATTCAGCGATGTAACTTACTTGAAGATCTTGAAGGATCTTGAAGGTGTTTTCCAGGGTCCAAAGTGCCAAGGCGAGTATGCCGGCAGTTGCCAGTATTTTGACCAGGAAGATCAGCGAGCGTTTGAAGGCTTGCGTTGAGATATGTTGAGATGTCGGCATCAGCGAGCGTTTTGAAGTCTTGCGCTGAGATATGTTGAGATGTCGGCGGACGTCGAAACATAATGTAGTGATAAGAGAGACCTTCGGTTTGTTTAGAAATTGCTGGAGTGCTTTTTTAACGCTCTTTTTACTTGAAACAGTGCGACTCTGCCGGCATTTTTCCTCTCAACAAATGTCGTGTTCGACCCTGATGGGTGATGTCTGAAATATCTGACGAATCCGCTAGGCCGTTCCGATTTTCCCAGCAGTCAGTATTCGGCAGGCTGAAAGAATCAGCAGGTTTCCTAATTGTTGGGTGGTCTTTTGGCAGGGGTATTGGCAATGCATTGGCAACATCTATGAAACAACTGGTTTTATTGAAAACATCTAAAAGTTTACTAAAGTACTGTGTGTATATATATATTTCCAGATTTCCGAAGAGTTCAAGAAGGGGATGACTGTTTGTGGCCATGATGTGGCGGTCAATGTTCACATGATTCACCTTGCCACAGGGCTTTGATTCCCACAACCTGAATCAACCTGAAACCAAGTTCAAGTGGGTGAGATTCAGAGAGAGGAACAAGATGGAACAAGGAGAGTGGCCAAAACCTACAATTCAGACTAATTCAGATACATCTTTTTGGGGTGATCCACTGGTGATTCCAGTGTTGTGTCTTGGCATGTGGCACCAATGTACCGGCAGCGTCAGGTAAGACGTCTCGGACGCGATCTGGGAGTGCCCATTTGGGTGCTGCGGGAAGTGCCGGCGTTGCTGGGCACGGTGCTGGTGCTGCGACTACTGGATGCGCAACCATCACCACTAGGCCGGGAGATGGAGGCAAAACCACGGGAATCACGGAAAATCATGACATTTCAATGACCTTTCCTGATATTGAACTTGAAGAGCCAGAGCGCAAGCGTATGATTCTACTGTGGATTTAGACCAAGTTTTGCTTTACACGCCATTCAAATCCCTCGATTCTGTGATTATCTGTGATGCAAAGATGCTTGGGGCCGCTGGACAGGTCATGGCTGGTCCCCACTGAGTGCACTTGGGCGACTCTGTGGACAGATCAACATAACGCATCTCTTTGCAACTTGTCAGCATCGGAAGCCAGAACATTTAGAAAATCAATAGAAATTCACAGACGTTCGTAGAGAACTTCCATGCAGAATGCGTTCTGGAATTGATAATTCATACTCCAAACAAGATGTATGGTTGTTACAGTTGTGTATAGTATGCATAGCTATAGGCTACATAAGAATATGTCAGAATTTAGAATGTGTAACAGTGTATATATATGCACATTTCTCTTCTTTTCAGTGTGAGTTTGGTCACAGTTTGGTCACATCTGGGCTTGTGAACTCCGACTTCCAATCTCTCAGCAAGGGTACCATGCAAGCTCGCTCAAATTGCATGCTCTGGTCGTGTGAAATTTGTCCGAAGATCTAGGTGAATGATGAATGTAGAGGCGAAAGAGGGCCCTACGGATGATCAGAAAAGCAGGGCACTTGAGATTATCATAAATCATAGATTATATTCGAACAAAACCCGGTTCACACAAACACAACACTCAGACAGACTCAGATTTGTCAAACATGGGCAGTGCTCCGATGCTTCTTTTTTGTGGAAAGTGAGCAGCTTGAAGACACTGGGGCACCTAGGTTTTGCAAATCCACAGGGGTTTTGCAGAGTCTTGGCCGCAACTGTTTGCATTGTCCGTATTTCAAGCCAATCTCTGACAGTCACTGGCTATTCCCGCCGGAAGATTTGATGCAGCATTTCCATGCACCCAAATGGACTACGCCGTGCCGGTCACATAGTGGATTGACACCTGAGACTGGCATGGACGGCATCACCACAGACGACATCTTTCTTCCTCCCAGCCCAAGTCTATTCCTTTGGCTGTGGGTCCTAGCCTGAGAAGGGTTCGTTCGGCATGCCGGCCATTTCACCGCCTGAGTCCAGCGTTTTCAACTAGCTACTGCCAAGTCATTTCCAGCGCTTGTCAACTTGTTGTGGTTAATTAATGCGTAAATTAATATGTTGATTGCATGGTATGAATCACATGATAACTTTAACCCATCATGGGCGAAACTAGGCCGGTTTGTTCGTTTGCTCTGTGGGTGTCGCCACGATCCTTTTCCTCTTCGTGGAAGGGCCTGTGCAGGCGCTGTCGGTGGCAATCGTTGAGGACTAGAGATGACACCAGATGACACCTATCAACGGAGATGTGGCATTGAAAGCAAAGAGCAATCTATTGCGGTACAAGTGATGTTTCTTCATTTCTCATGTTGTGAAGCAGTGTGAAACATTACGGAATGGTCAGTTTGCTCAGAACCTTGAAAGATCTTGAGAAAGATCTTGAGAGCATTTGGACATATTTGGACATATTTGGACACCTTTCCATTTTGTACTGAGAGGATCTCAGAGGTCTCAGGTCGTTTAAGGACCGCCAGGGATACATGTCGTACACATGTCGTTTTGGGAGGCCCTGCTGGGTCGCAGAGATGGTGGCCGGGGCGCCATCAACGGCACCAGCAACGGACACGTGGTGAACGGCCACCGGAGATGATGTGCCACAGAAGTTGGATGCATCCGTTATGAAAGGCAGAACAAGCTGTGGGTTTGTCCAAGAATTAAGGAATACCCAAAGTGGCAAGTTAAATATGTCAAATATAATTGATTGGTTGTCATAGTAGCATGTACATATATAGTAGCTATTTTAACGGGAAACCATGATGATAATAATCCAAAATGGCCAGTTCAATAGGTAAACATGATGATTGAGCATGATTAGCCATCAGATTTTGTGGTCCTGTTTTAGTGGCTGAACCCATATCGCTGTACCAACTGTCCTTATGATGTGCCAAAAAAGATTGCTCGAGTGGAAGCCAGCAAGATGGGCAACATGATGTTGGATAATTATGTTCGTGTTGGTGGAAGCCATTCCAGCTGCAATGCATCCTCATCATATGTGGGGAGTAGTATGGAGTAGTAGAGTAGGCTAGTCGCAGTGCGAAATCGAGACTTGATTTCAGTCAAGGATTTGTTTGATCGGTTGAAAGATCAAACTTCAAAAATCAATTTTGGGATGATTGATGATTTAGCTATGGATCAATACCTATACATACCATTTTTAGGGGGATGAACATCCATTTACCAGCTATTTTGATGTTCACCAGGGGGATGAGTTGCACCAGTTCCACCAGTTGCACCGGTGGTGTATGGGGTCCATTCGGAATGAGTGGTACGGCGGGTGCGGAGTTCCACCTCCAAGGTCACGGCCCCCACCTCCACGGAATCCAGGTGCGTTTGGTAGCGGGTCAGCGGCATTTGGTCAGATGTCATCAGATGTCATCAGATGTCATCAGATGTCAGATGTCATTAGGTTGCATGGTGTGGATTTGACATTGATTTAGCACTGAGTTCTGACATGTGTTGATGTTTAGCAGTTCATCTTCAATTGTTTCACATTGACATGGCTGACGGATGTTGATGGCCGTGTTGCCTTACTGATCTTAGTCTTCCACCTCCGCTCCTGCAGCCAGGTTAGAAACTGAAGAGCCAGTGTGGGAGGAGGTCGAGACATGTTGGGACATGTCGGAACTGTGGAGAGGTCCTCAAGTCTTGGATCAAAGTCTCAAGATGTCCCAAGATGTCCCAAGATGTCCCAAGATGTCTGTGGATCCAGATACCCAGACTCTGCAGCATTCTGCAGCCCAATTCAGAACCAAACCCCAACTTGACCCCAACTGGACCAGGCTACGGATGGCTTATTTCAGCGAAAAGCCGGGCGTCGTGCTCAGGCGGAACGGTCATACAGCTGCAACCTGTGGTGATTCGGGATTTGGAGTTGGACGACAGTTGAACAATTGCGTGGGCATACTTAGGCACCAAGCCACATATGATTTCGATGACTTTTCAGTTTCAACCATTTTCAACGGATTTTCTTATGACTTCCAAAGGAAGTTTCAAACTGTTCTACTGATTTCCGTCACATTTCAAAGTGGTCAGCGCAGGTGAGCAGTGCTTCAAGGCCGGACAGCAACTTGTCAATTTCCCGTTGCGGGAGGTTTCACATTGGGTTTCACATTGGGTTTCACAGTTTCACATGGGTTTCACCAGATTTAAATCATGTTTAACATTGTTTAACCAGTTGAACCCGTCAATCCGAGAGACAGTCGGACAGAGTCGGACAGAGTCGGACAGAGTCGGACAGACCGCAGGACGGAGCCACGAAAGGAGAAGGAGAGCACTGGGAGCACTGGCCTTCTGGGTGACACGGATCCAGCCTCAGCTGATTTCAGCTGGTTCATGTTGATTCAACATGGTTCAACATGGCTCAAGTATGTTGAAGTGTCAGGGGGTCTTTGCATGTCCCTACGACTGAGGAACTGCTGCCACCAGAGAACCTGGAAGAACTGTGGCAAGAGTTGTTGGAGGTGCACCCAACCTGGGTTTGAATGGTTAGAAATGGTTAGAACTAACATGTTGGAAATTTGATGAAATTAGAAACACATTCTCAGCAGCTTGCCCTGACTCCATTTAGTGCAGAAGCTTGAGTAGGGAACAGGATCAAGTGATTAATCTGATTAGTCATCCTAATTGAATTAAACAACCCCAAACAACCCAAAACCATATTAATATTCTTTGATACCCAATTGTGGAGGGCCATAGTGCATCATAGTGCAGCTAGGCAAGCTTGTCTTGGGAGGGTCGTGTTGCTCCGCAACGCTAGACTTAAGCCGATAAGATTGATACAACGGTATATATTATTAGTATTTATTAGTACCAATTGGTAAAATGGCAACTTCATGACTTTCTGAGTTGATCTCTTGACTTTGAACCTGGAAACCTATTACGATCTATTACGTGCCAGGACACCTTACCTCCAGACAAGCGAGACCTTCTGCAGGCATCCCTTGGTCATGCTTTGCCAGCATATGAATAGTAATTATGTGGTACTCGTACTGGGTGTTTTTTTTTGGGGGTTGCTAGAGCCTGAGTGTTGAAAAATGTCGGCAATCTGCAAGTGATACTCTCGATTTCACAACCATCCAGGAGCTCCTTGATGAACACCTTGCATTGGCTCATTAGCGTTCGTTTTGCAATTATACAGAAGCAGACTAGTTTTCAAAATATCAAATCCAACAGATCTCCTGGAATTTCAGGGCAAGTTCAAGACCCAGACCAACAGAATCTTCCAGGAGAGTTGATCTTGTGGTTGATGGTTTTTGAATCTTGTGAGCTTTAGGCCTCGTGGCAACGAGCTCAAAGCGCAAGTGAGCGTCACTTGGCACTGTTGGCACTGGAACATTCTTGGCCAACTGCTGTGCGATTTGTATATTAATGTATATATAGTATATATATATATATTGTATATACACATGGCTTGTAAATCTTCTAAAATGCTTGAGCCAGTGGTCCCAACAACATCACCAACACCTTGTAGTGTTGCACTCTGAATTTGGGTGGTGCGGCATAGGGAACGTACCAGACCCAAAACTGAAGCACTAAGTTTCTTCCTGTTTCCTTGAGAATGCTCCAGTCCAAGAACCTGTCAATCCGGGAATCCCTTGTGCCATGCCATGTGCCTCACCGGGATCATGGCCGTGGCAAGGTTATATGCTTTTCCTAGAGTTGCGGCCTTATTGTGGAAGGTCACAGGGGCAATGCATAGAGGATGGAGGTTTATTGCAAAACGTGATTGAAAGGCGGGTGGCTTCCGAATTGTGCTGAATTCAGCTGGGCATTTCAGAGGGCATCTGCTTTTCCTTCCTGTGGTGTTTTTTTTCCCTTGAAGAATGTTTTTTTTTTGTTCGTGGATTTGGTTTTCTGTTCTTTCAGAGGTCTAGTTTCCAACAATGCAATCAGCAGCTACAGTATCAGCTGTATATCAGCTGGAGGGAACTTGATAAGGTACAGCAGCTATTTAAGAAAGCAAGAGGTGACGGAGGAAGAGAAGGCTGAGAGAAGGTGCCCGTGACGTCTCATGCATCAGTTTCGTGGCTGTATGGGATCCACTTTAGAACTTTAGATGTCATCATACCGATGAATAGCTGGTTGGATCTGGGTGTAATTCCTGTTTATTTCTGTTTCATTGGGAACCCTTTTGGGAATTATGGTTCTGTGAGTTATTCAGATTCGAGATGACGCGGCAGTTCAAGAGCACCACCTCACATGGAAATCCAGCACACCTGAAGAAAGTGATGGGGCAGACTCATCACAGCCAGGGCCAAGCCATGATTCTTTGGAATTCAAGTTCGCTACTCCATTGTATTCCAGCTTCTTACTGTTGATATGTAGGAAAATGTGTGGGTTTCCCATTGCCTGGCTCTGATGTAAGGGTTCTTCCAGTTCTTTAACTGACATGCCGATATTGGTGGTCCACCATCCCATGTAAGAAAGTATGTGAGCTACAGCCAAAAATTACCGTAATGGAAAGTAGTATTCGAGACTTCGAGACATCTTTATTTTTTGGAAATTGAGCTGGGGCTTGGAAAACGATAGTACACTCTTCAAAAACGATAATATTTGCTATATTCACAAGACCTGAAAAACAATAATACATTCTACAAAAATTGATGACTTGGAGCTATATACTAAATATTGACCATGGCCCATGTAACAAAATCCGTCACGCACCCGTCCCCCACAGCTACCAGGAAGCAGCTTGAGCCACTGCTGAAGGAATATGGCCTTGACAAACCAGAGCCAAGGCCTGAGATTTGATGACATTGAGAGAGCAATAGAGAGATGCAGAGAGCATAAATGTGGTGGCGATTTCTTCGACTTTTCGATACTTTTCGTATTTTCGTGTCACCAGAAAAAGAGCAGCAGGCCTCTTGTGGCTACAGCGACATATTTGTTTGGTTTGTTAGGATTGGTTCACTTCACGAATGACCTGTTTCTGCATTTCCTGCCTCATACTTGATGAACTCCAGGCTTTGCAGCATAGCGGCATTTGAAAGCTTTCTACCACAGATCTGACATTATCATCATATTATCATCATTATCCGACCGGGTTTTTTGTTACCCATTGTGATAACCGAAGCAACTTAAACCACGCCCAAAATGGCCACCGGCAGCGCTTCGCCAAGGTGTGAGACTCAAAGCTCCTGCAACTGGCAGGGGTCCTTAGCGTGAGCTGAGCCAGCTTGGTGTCATCAATATTGGCACCCAGTTTTCATTGGCAATTTGGATACACTTGAATCATTGTACATATATATATATTATATATATATACGTATTTGCGGCAAAAATGCTGTTGTTTGATGTCTTGGTGTAATCACTGAAACCAGATAACCAGATGTACTTTCCCTACAATTCATTTGACTATGGAGGCATCAAGAGTTGGAACCCTTTGCTCCGGAAGATGACCGGTGCCAACCTTCCGATTCTTCCACCTCTCACCACCCGAGGACTGTTGTGTTGTGCTTGGTGTTGGTGATTGGTGCAATGGCCGGCTCCTGAAAGATTCCAAGACCGTTGACTCCAGGGGTGGTAGTCATCGTTCTAGAAACATGAACTTGCGTTGGCCCACCCCCAAGGAGCAACATGTCGACACGCAAGATTTTTCCTGCGGACAGTGCCATCCTCCTGTTTTAATCTGGATATATCTGGATGTATGTGATTGATGTGGCTGTATCCACTCCCAAGTCTGACAAACGCCAGTTCCCCAGAGCCGTGTTGACACTCTCAGTGATCAGTTCAGCCATCGCAACTCAGATCTACTACATCTTCTGCTCTGCAGACCCAGAAGCTGCACAGATCCTCTGAAATTGCCACGTGTAGCCGCCAGTGTGATCCTGGTTTCAAAGAACAAACCAGGTGGGGCCAATCCATGTTGTTGGTACCGCACAAGCTCCTCGCCTTGATGACCCGCTGTTTGGAGCGACTTTGGTGTGTCAACAAGCTGGAGAATGAATGCAGCAGCAGCAGCAACCAAGCATCATGGTTTTGTGACCTTCTTTTCTGCGGGGTTTTTAGGAGATGGGCGGCTGCCTTGACGCCAAACACATGCCCAATTTAAAGGTGGTGTCAGCTGTTGTGGTTGGGAAGACCCCAAGCCCAGCAGGACGAACACCACCGCACATTTGGATCATTCTGGATCAATGAACAGCGCTGTTTGGCCATTTGCCCAGACATAAAAAGGAGACTAGGGCGCTTGGATCAGGGATTTGTGGCTGTGCTAGGCCACTTCATTCAGAATTTCAACGTGGATGGTCCAAAGATTGCACTTATTTTGCTGGGTCAAGGTATACCTATAGCAGAAGCAATGTTGAGATCCAAAATTTGCTCCATCTCTTTCTGAGCCTATAATAGCCTATATGAATCCAAGGCTTAAGGCTTAATCCTGGATAACTTCAAGTGGAGATGCACGTTGGAAGATCCAGTGTTGGAACTGACTTGCCATGATCAGGCATGACCCAAACAAGAGCATGTTTCGACAGGAAATCACTCGCGTCTGTCAAAAGACCGCAAAGTGGTGCCTCCCCTCAAGTATCTCAAGCTGTTCGCTGAACAACATTATGTAAACACAATGTACTGCCTTTTCAACAGATTTCAACAGATTGACAAGGAGGCGAACCTTTTGCTGTTTGTTTCAGTCAATTCATATTTGGCTACGAAGCATCATAAGGACGCACACGCCAACATGACCTTTTGGCCTCCAAAACAAGGTCAGTCAACCCACTCCCTTCAAAGATCTTCAAAGTACTTTCCTACCTTTGTGATCTTTTGATCATTTTGCAGTCACGTCTTAGATGCCCAGCCATGCCCAGCACTGCCATCGCTGGGAACCGATACGCAGCTCTGCTGTCAGAGAGTGGCAGCGACGATGCAGCTGAGCCGCGGACGGCCAAGAAGGTCAAAGCCAAACGAAAGGTCAAAAGAAAGGCGCCGGTGGAGGTAGGCCAAGATGCGTAGAAAGCAGATGCATTGAATCTAAATAGTTGATATTGGCCGGCATGTCATCAAGTTGCTTAAATTCGAAATCTGATGTTGGAACATCTTCCGTTATTTTCCCATGGCCCATGTTCCAACAATCTGCTTTTGACTTTGGTCCTCATTTCAGCGGGAAGGTGCCACCAGAAGGGTCGGAAGCCATGGTGCAATCCGCATTTGAACCTTCACCAAGTCGACCAAATCGGAAGCGAAAGAAAGGTGGGCAGCTAGGCTATGGGCATGGCTATGCTAGGCAGGCTGAGTCCCAATGATGGCCCAAAGCCGTTTTCCAGGGTTCACTGGGTAGCAATGTGCCATCTCTGTTACGCCATGGCAGTGAAACAGCTGAGATGCTTTCCACAGCAGCTTCCTAAGGACTGAAGGAGACAAGCAAGCAGATGGAGCCCAGAAGCTGGAGGAGGCACTCTCTGTTTCCAGGATACCCATGGATTTTTAAGATGGGCAAATCGGATAGACAAGATCTATAATATCATTATATATCATTCATATCATATCTAAACTATACTAACCCATATATTCACACACACAGTGGACCCATAGTTTTTTGAATGTGTATACGACACGCGTGCATAATATATGCCATGATATATAATGCTGTGATGTACACTATGTTCACAAGATCAAACAAGCATAGTTTGAGCAAGGCTTTGCCTTGATTTGCTCCGTGCACACTAGAGCCTTGGAGCTGGTTGATCTCTGACTCTGAACATATTTCCTATACACGTGAAGATCCCAAGCCTCCCGGACATCATAGCCGAAGCATAGCCAATTCACATGCGAGGATGGAGCCCAGGAGAAGCACGAGACCGGTGACCAACAAGGCAGCGGCGAATGGCTCGTGCTGTGTCCATGTTGTGTCCATGTTGTGTCCATGTTCACCAACCCTGCACCTATCACCAACAGGTCCTTTGCCCCTTGGGGCTGAAAAGACACTTCCTGGTGGTGTGACAATCAAGGTTCGGCCTCGGATGGCTTGGGGTTCTTTTCTTGGTACTTTGGAGCCATCATAAAAGGATGAAGATGTACTCTTCAGTGGAGTCACTTAATGTACTCACTACTCTTTAAAGCCTTGGTGTCATGTGCTCTTCTTGTTTTTCATAGGCTCGATTTGGGGCTTGCCGCGCATTGCCTCATGGGAAAAGAGTATTTGCAAGCTTTGTGTGTCCGTGTAGGGCCAAAATGCAGCGACAGGTCTTGAGAGCTGCTCCAGCGGATGCGGTCATTGCCACCAAGGGTTGCGAGGTTCGATTGATTTACGAGGCGTGACATCTGACATTGGACATGTGGACATTTGCCACCAAGCTGCTGGTGGGGCGGCGAAGAGAGCGCACCACACGATACGAGTATGACAATGTATGACAAAAAACATCAAAAAGGGAACTTTGCAGACTTGAGCAAGAAACAAATGCCCCTGCTCATTGGACGCCATCCAGTGTTGGGCATTACTTTTTCATGTGTTTATATATAGTGTTTTGGTGTGACTGGAGGTCACAACGTTGCAAGTGCATCCCGCTGGGGTAGGTACTGGTAGTTAGATAATAGTCAGATGTTTCATGATGTCTGGGTTTATGCATTTGGCATCCACATATCGCCCAGGGCCGCTTGGCAAAGAACAATCGGCGCTTTGACAATGGTGAAATTGACTTCCTGCTGGGTGATGTGGCAATCTCAGATTTTGAAAGTCGACAAGAGACTCCAGAGATGGAGGATGGAAGGGACATAGCTCCATTCAAAAAGCTCCCGACCTGGCAGACAATTGGATGGGGCATTGAATGCAATCCGCTAGAAAGCTACTTTCCAGGATTCCTTCAAGCTGTCTTCGGGAGTTGCCCCGTCTGCCAAGGGGACTATGCTTCCTGGCTTTGCCAAAGGGGTCAGCGGCATGGGCGTGGGGGAGAGACGTTTGATTCACATCCCTTGGAAGTTGGGCTATGGCAAGAAAGGCAGGGCTTAAGCCTTTTGCTTTGTTGCTTCGGAATATTGCCACCTTGCCATGTTGCCATCTTTCTCACGGCTTCTCCCGCTGCAAGCTAGCAGTCCCAAACTGGAGTTGATATCATGGTGTTCTGTATCAGACAATAGATGGGTTGAACACCATCATCATAGCGTTAAAATATGTTGAACACAGGTGAAGTGGATTGTTCTAGCCTACAGATCCACAGCATCCCATAGCATCCCTTTAAGCATCCCATAGCATCCCATAGCATCCCAGAGCCTCCTAGAGCCTTCAGGGAAGAAACCAAAGATCCCTCCGATGAGCGACTTGGACTTCGATGCGTCTCTGACCTTCTGCGGAGTCGATTGGAAGGAGCGCTCGAATCGATCTGATGCTGGGCTGAAAGCTGGGCACAGTCACAGAGAAATGTGGGAAGTTTTGCAGCACGTTTTGAAGGTGGTAATTAATCCAATGTAATCCTCTAATTAGGCGTGATAATATATGATAATATAATTTAATATAATATATGTTGATTCAGATTGGAGTATATGGTGGTTAATATAGCTTGAACGTGGTTTGGTGTTTTGGCACTTTGTCAAAATCCACTGTGCTAGAGCCTAGCTGTTGCTCCCAGTGATTAAGGGCACCTGTGTTTGTTGGGACAGTGGTGTAGCTGGCTGTCCAAGGAAATGTCGAACAAGCGCAGAGAAGCTGCGAAGCGCAGGGGCAAAAAGCCCAGACCCACGTGACAGTTGCGAAAACAGGTTCGCAGCCATGTCCGGACTATGCTGACAAAATTGGAGGTTTTTTTTTTTGGAGGTTCGCCACGTTACAGGAGGAAAGTGTTCAAACTCAGTCGCCTCCCTTGGTCTGAATCCGCGCGCGCGTGTCATCTTTAATCTGTTGGGGGGTTCGGGTGAGCACATGGGAATTTTGCTCTGCACATAGATTGCTGTCCAATATCCAGCAACGAGGTGGATCTTTCATGTAGTGAAAAGAAGCTGGATCTGGCCGACCTGGTCATGTTCCATTATTATCCATTAGTTGCATTAGTTCCATGTTGATGCTTCATGCACTTCTTGATGAACGGCATCCATGAAAAGCAATGTCAGGCGAATTTAGGAAAATGAGGAACACAATGCTTTGGTACCTCCAGGGTCTGGACGTGTCTGGACCTCCTTCGGGCCATGGATTCACGATGATGAATCTGTGAGACCATCAAGCAGTCAGACGTATTGGGACCTAGCTGCACCTAGAACAGATCTTGGGACATCGATTAGCATGGTATCAACCGACGACCGCCTGGTATATCGTATTCAGTGTGTCAAAGATCGTCAAGGTGCAGATCTCGTCGCACGGCGCAAGGAACCAGTATAGACCCAACCTTCGATGAAGTGGTTTGCAGATGTTTGCAGGTGCAGAATTGAAGTTTCAGCGTGGTGCACAGGCACCCACACTTCAAACACATATCAAGCGCCTGCAGAAACATTGACCTTTCCTCTTTAGCTCGCTACTGGCAGGCGCACGCGGCGGAAATCTTTCCAGTAGACATGGACATGCTGCCAACGAGCGTTACTGCCGTTTGCAACGAAACGCAGCGCATGGATACACATGGAAACAACATGAAACAACTGATGATGCGATAGCGACTACTGTGCACTTGCGTAAGAAGTTGAACACATAGGGCCGCTCTCTCGCTAAGGAGCTTGCGCGATGGCCGCAACGCCTAAACATACAATATTAACAAGAGAGCGAAACTTTGTCCATTGTGCGCCCAAAAACCTCCGACCCATCCATTGGAAAATAGCAGGCACTGGCCGTCCGACCTCATTATGGGTTGCACTTCCCTTGCCAGTCGCCAGTGCGCGCGTTCGTTGCGGCTGCAGCATCCGTTCAGCCAGTGTGATAATAGTAAGATGTAGTAAGATGTAGTATCATGTCGGAGGCACGGTAGCGAGTGACTTCAGCGGGATCCTCTGAAGGCAAGAGCAAGTCACTGATGTAGACATGGCCCGACAAGAAACAACTTCAAACGTGAACGTAAAAGCTAACCCACCACCGGTTGCAGCCTTTTTGACGGAATGGCGCCAAGTGTTCACCGATGTGCCGCATTAGTGGCGGATGGAAGTATCGGCTTCTCTTACTTGATTTGTTCCAAACCTGCCTCTGCGCCATCAACCTGATACGCTCCATGCAGTCCTGGCTATAACGTGTATTGACGAACTCTCCAGGAGGATGCACGGAGTGTAACATTTGGATACATTTGAGAGCTGACCATGTGCAGAACTGTATCCATGCGAGCTCAGTCTTGGCAACACAAACTCCCGAGTGCTAAAAATACTCTTGGATCACAAATGTTTCTCATGAACACCCTTTTTTACCGAACAAAACAGAGAAATTTGAACCCACTTTGCCAAAAACATTCGTTCGGCGCTTTTGAGTGTTGCCTTTGCAGCTTATGGCTTTTAACATGCTGCTACCAGTACTTCTGAGAGGCAGTGCCTCCTTCAAACTAATTCCGGAGAACACCCGAGAAAGGACATTGCGATTTTCGCAGCTTTCGGCTCTTGTGGCTGCCGTGCAGTGCCCTTCGCCATGTTTGATTTAAAACTGCAGTCCCAACAACGCGCAACTCCCAGCCTTTGCCATAATTCCAGCAGTGATGAACATTGCGTGCCTTTCAATCTGAAATAAACAAACAGTTCAAGAAATATAAGTAAGAAATTGGCATCGAGCAGAGTCATCCCCGGGAAGTGCCGTAATTCCTCAGAAACTTTGTGATGCTGCCGCCTCCAATTCCCGCCGAGAAAGTCGTCAATCATTTACTACGCCGGTTTTTTTTAATGTTTGTTGACAGTTGTCGGTCTTCGATAGGATTGCTGTGACCAGCCACTGCCAACCGCAAAGGACAAACAAACTCGCTCATGTCTATCACTCAACAGGGTTTTGATATGTTTTGATGGGCTGCCACTTCACGTCGTTGGCAAACAATTCCAGGACAATATTCATCTCTTCATCTCTTCATCTTTTCATCTTCATCGTCGACACCACCACCACCGCCACCGCCACCGCCAGCACCAGCACCAGCACCAGCACCAGCACCAGCACCAGCACCAGCACCAGCACCACCACCACCGCCACCACCACCATCATCATCATCATCACCACCACCACAATCTTTTTCACCATTGTTTTTCGCCAGTACTTGTAGGATCATGAGCTTGCTAAGAAACGATATCAAAGTAGGCATCATGTCTCTCCTGCACGTTTTTCCCCAAGGGTCTCTAGATTGTAACAAAACATCCCGGCCAACTTCTTCTTTCTTCTCCTCCTCCTCCGTTGCTTGGCCGCCGCCTTCCGCCAGCATGTCATCAATGGCAGCAATGTCTATGTAACGTGACGCGGCTGATTTTTATGAGAACTGGACCGTTGCATACTGCTGTTATTTGTAGCAACCTGTGCGTAGCGTGGACAACTCCTATGACACGTCAAGTACATCCCCCATGCACGAAGGAGGGCTACATTTTAGGCCCCTGCACGAAACAGCATTTACTGTATTGTATTGCTGTATGATCATGTTCCCGTAGCGATGAGTATGGTAACCTAGAGAGAGGGCCCATGCCAACACATGTCCAACATTTGGTTTCATTTTTTTGAGAATAGGTGTGGGCCATGGATCTTTGATGCTGATGTGGTTTTCCTGGAAGCTTTCAAGCTTCGAGGCCCCTCCCCCCGAGCTCTCAATTGTCCAACTGTAGGAGGCCGCCCGCCCCAGGGTTGAAAATAATACATCAATTAATTGCTGTATTTTTTTCCGGTGGGGCAAGGTAAGAATAGGGAGAGCAGGGAAACAGCATCATGAAATACTATTAATGTATCTATGCATTTGGGGGGCCACCAGCACCTTCATTGTGCACTCATTTTGCACGAAAGCTGTCCTGGTATTAAATGCATTAGTTGCTGTTCATTCCCGTTTGTTGTCCAGACGCCTTTCTCACCAGTTTCACTGGATTGGAGGGTCGTCTTCCCAAATCTGGTTTCTACCATTTCGGCAAGTTTTCCCGGCCATGACATTAATTTTAGATCGGTCTTGGCCGCCTTGAAGTTGAAACAGCACAGCCCTCCCTTTTCTTGGCGTGAACAGAAACAAATTACCCCCTTTTACCACGTGGGATGCCACATCAGTTTGACTTACATAACATAGTTTAAAAAAGCGGGGATAGCCTCCTCTATATTTCATGATATTTCATGCATTTATAATGAATCATTATAATATATATATATATATATACATCAATTGAAAGTTCATAGTAGCAGTTCGCCCAATCCCCAAGACAACAATTGTTGGGGTTCGCCAAATATTATTTTGTGCTGCTGCCGGAAAGGTCCCTTCCACAAATGAAACAAGGCATGCCACAAAGCAGAACAAATATTAGATCCGAGAGGGGGTGGCTGTGGCACTTCGGTAGGGGGGGATTGCATTGCCCCTGTGGGATATGAACAGTTTTTTCTCTAACGTGGTCATGTCGATTTGCACAGCCTTCTTGGGGAAATAGAAAAACATGTATCTTATTTTTGGAACAACCTGGGGAACTACTTAAAGCGTTGGAAAACGCGCATGAACCATTGGAATCAAATCGCTGCACTTTGGAATTGTCATGTTGCGCACGGTTTTGAACAACATGTCAAAATGTAGAGCCCCGATGGACAAAACACAGGCTAACAGGTTTTTGCGTATCGGCCCTTGCCTGTTGCTGCTGGCACAGCTCTTCAAAGTGGCCGGTCACAAGAAGGTAACCAAAAATTGAAAACGCAACTGATACATATTTGGCCCGTTTCTCTTTGGCGGCGAGATTTATCAACACCAGTTCTTTGAAATAAGAATTCTACATACTATAGGTACGTACATCATATAGTGTATGAAAACAAATTCGGTCGCAACAGGTACTGCTGCTGCTTCAACAAAGGGACTGAGAACTCAAACCCCAGTTATTTTTTAATTTCGAACAATTTGTGATTCCACGTCTCTAGAGGGAAATTTAGTGGATCTATTCGAGTGTTGGAAACAATTTGTGCCCGGCATGGTCAGCAAGATTGCGGAAATATAATCTATGTCTGAATATTTCCGGCAACATAAAACTATATAGGTTGTGCAAATTGGCACGGTGGTCAGTTTTTGGTTAGTTGTGGGCAACTTCCATGCAAATAATGATTGTAAAGTGAACAAATTCTATGACACGCCTGGAGAAAAGTGTGCTGTTGCCCAACTTGCCCAGCAAGAGGCTTTGAACGTGTGCCTGAGCATGAGATGTTCTAATCGTCACCAAACAACGCGTCAGTTATCAAAACCGGCTTGCGCATTCCAATGACACAAGTGGTCGGCGACGCCCAATCGGCAGGGAAAACAACGCGAAAACAGCGAACACCATATTTGCGCATTCCAGTACCAATGCGAAATCAGTGTGCACTCAGTTGCTCTTTTTGTTCCAAGAGGGTGAATAGCACAAACTCCTCAAAAGCGAACCCGTTCAATCGAAAACAGTCGTTTCACAGTTTGCCAACCCGGTTTGTGTTTGCCAGGGCGGACAATTCTTGCCAAAAAATGGACATGGTTGAAAACAATTTCCGTAAACAATTTTTGTGCCGACGTTTTCTAAAGGCAATACGAGGTACTTACGTCTAGCTTGTTCTGTGATTCCGAGAGCATCCGAGAGCATGTTCATTACATTTAAGGACGTGCCGGCAGCGGTCTTTTCG